GAAAAATAAAATAAAATTGTATGTTTCTGTAAAAAATAAAAAATTATTGAAAAAATAAAAGCGTGCAATACTTTTGTTTCCTGGTAGAATGAAAAGGCTGACGTATGTAACTTTAAACGAGCAGAGTTGGCGTGCTTTAATCCGTCAACCAATTCAACCTGACCTGCTGAATTTCTTTGGAAACCTTATGAATGAATACAAAAAAGTAAGAATGCTTTGCTGTTATATGCGTAGATTAATGGATATCTCATAAAATATACAATCAAAAATAGGTTATAAATGATATCGATGAGCTTTGTTTGAAATTTTATGAAGTGTGAGGTAAATACTGTGATAAAGTAATTTATTTAGATGATGAAAGACGACTTTTTGAGATGACTCAAATTGTGACACGTGTATTGTAATTACTTTATTTTACTTTTCTGTTATTTCTTTATTAACTTTTTGTTTAACTTCTCTTTTCCTCCAAGTTATGAGAGGATGCATATGTACCCAGATTCAGATAAAAATGAAAACGAAGACACTGTGATGCACTAGTATATATATAATACTTTTAAGGAAACTTTTCAGGATTCTAATTATGAAACAGTTTGATATGTTCTTTGTAATTCATTATTTCTCACTCCTGTTTCTTTTAATCTTACTTTTCTTTAATAAAGGCGAATTCTAAAAGTTTATCATCAAAGGATTACTGTTTCACTTATGGTCATTCACAAGGGAAAAAAACCGATCTAACTATCTATATATAGAATTATAGAAAAAGGAGAATGTGAGGAATCGTGTTTCATTGAAGCAAAACTTTTTTCAGTCACAAAAACAAATAAAGTTGGTAGATATAATCTTTATAAAGTGGCAATCTTTTGCCAAGGTGATATAAACAACATATTATTATATGAAAATGAACCAGGAGCACAGACATTTGGAGGGCATATATGTGGTAAGTTTTCTTTTCGCATTTTGGCGAATTCATGTTTTAATATACTTTCTCATAAAAATATTATAGAAGGGTACATATATCTCTGTATGATGGATCTGAAATACGATGGCATCTATCGTTTCTTTCAATTATTTGAAATAAAGATCGTCTGAAAGCTCTTAGAATTTAATCTCGTGCGAAAATTAATATTAGAAACATAAGATAAAATCCTTCTAGTTATTGTATTTTTCACGATTTTTCGTATCGATAGCTATTATTCAAATCAAAATAATTACAGTAGCTTGAGTAGATTTATCCGTAATCCAACTGTAACACTTAAGACGTCTAAAAATGCAATTTCAGACATTAGTCTGAAGAAACAGAAACTAACAAAAAAAAGAAAAAGCATTTGATTTTTCTCGAACTTAATGTTTTCTGATAATTAATTTTTCTCAAAGTACAGAGGGTTATCAAAAGTTTTTGAACGTGACTTTTGAAATGCGATTGCTATATAAAAAAGGTAATGTTTATTATATAAATATGGATAGTTTTTGTTTATTTGTCTTAAAAAGAAACAAAAAAAACTCTTTCTGCTAATCACCAAAAATGCCTAAAAAAAATCAAAAATCTAATAACTGCGATCATTCTGCGTCACCAGTAAAAGACAAATTACCACTATAAAAAAGACAGAACACCACTCAAACAACTGAACAAGAAGCTGTCACTGAAAGCTCTACTATTAAACAACCTCTTATTATTATTATGGAAGTTGACCAAACATTAGACACTACATCTTTGCCCTTGATAAAGAAAAAAATAAAGAAACTGTAACAGTCACTGAAATTACAACCAATAACAAAAAAGATGAAATGAATATCAACAGTCCTTCTGACGCGTCTGAGAATACTATTGACACTACTTTAGTAGCATTTGTTACGCCACTCCTCAGTGCTGAAAAATTTTTCACGTATTTTCCGCTTGAAAAATACTCTGGAGCTAACCCCTAACAGAAGATCGCTGAAATCACTGACAAATATTGTTTCAATTACTTTCCTTTGCTGGAGTCACACGTAGAAAACTTCCTGCTGATCCTTTAATCAACATTCTCAAGGTTGCCTTTTTAGACTCCGCTGAACATGATGATCTTTGTAAAATGCAGATTTCTAATACGGACAAAACCACGTTTTTACCTCTAGTTGTACAAAAATTGCACCCTTTCGTACCTGCACAGTCAATCATAGTAATTGAGATCCCATTAGATTTTACAATTACACAAACTAAAATTTTTTTCTCCCGCTATAGTAATATCGTATGTTGCATTATAAAAACTAGAAACTTGTATAATGCGCCACTATTACCTTTGACGATAAAGCCAAATTTGACCTTCTTCAAGCGACTGATGGATTGCTTATCATTAATGACTCTGTTCGTATTCATATGTGTGATCTGAACAGAAAAGAAATCCAAGATCATTCCAAATTCTCAAAAAAATTAATTAATCTTCCACGAGGAACGACAGCACGTAACCTATATGACATCAGTAAGATGGTAGACGTTACAGCTTAGATCATTTCACGAGCAAGATCAAACTATAATTATTTGCAACATGTGTACTTTTACTTCGTAATACGAATGAAGCTGATGCTGCTATTACGACTGATAATCTCACGCTTAACAATAAAAACTCGAATGGACTGATGTGAAAACTAAACTATGTGCCATTTGCTCTTCATCATACCATAACACTCTTCGTGTCCCAGAAAATGAAATACTCCAAAAGACAAAAATACTTAACACCTATATCAAAGGTTTCAACTAGCTCAATTTAACGGATATACTGCACCTAAGAAACTTCGTGATGCTGTTAGAAATAACATCACGTTTGCTGACGCTACTAGCCCTTTGAACTCTAATATCAGACGCCTGCAAACTCAAAACAAATGACTTTCTCCCCATACCAAAGAAGCCTATTAATCCTAGCAAAGCTACTAACAAACTACCTGTCTTAAAGTAGAAGGATGAACCAATGGATGATAACACTATTTTTGACAATACAGTATATTCTACTCCAAATATTAAAAATGGAACAGCAGCGAGTGGATCAATGCATGACCCTGATTTTAAGATATTCATCACATTCCAACTTGAATTCATTTCTAGTACTCTTAGTGACCTTTGTGCTGCTTTTAAATTTTCGCAATCTCGCCTTGAAGTGGTTGAAAAGGCACTGAATATTCAAGTTATAACCCCTCAAGAAGCTGAATCATTTAACAATACACTCCCAGATAATGCTACTGAAGCAGACATGAAATCCCTGTTTATCAACACATCCTTTTGTACTGCTCATTTACAGACTCAATCCAATGAACAATTCATTGCTATATGTTAAAAACAACAACAAAGAATCTCTGAATTCACTCTAACAATTAACAAGCTGCTCAAAACCTGTCAAGACTTTCAAACAATACTCATTAACAAAAATCTTATCAGCCAATATAACATACAAGTTTTTGACCCTTTAAATGAAGAATTTGACAAAATAACAGAACGCTGCATTGGCAGCTTCCAAATCTAATTATTATTTTTATCATGATTACTGTTCTTATAATGAATAACATGCAAATCCCCAATTCTCACACTTCTTTCTTTCCTAATCTTAGAATTGCTACCCACAATGTCTGTTCTTTAAATGATCCAACTAAACAAAATTACCTTTTCTCCTTATATTCAGTTAATCAATTTGACATCATAGGTCTATAAGAAACAAATTTTAAGGGAATTATATCCATTTTCAACCAAAATTTTCCTGATTAAACTACTTTTTTTAGCAATAACCAAAACTCCCGTTCAATTGGAACTGGTGTTAGCCTTTCATTTAGCCCTTCTATTGCCAAACATATTTATGCTCATAAATCTGAATTAGATAGAATTATTTATGCAAAACTTCAATTTGCGAACAAACAAAAACTATTAGTCATTAATTGTTATATTCTACCTGATAACCCTCCAACTGATATCACAAAACAATCAGTTGTTTTTCTAAAACGTTTACTAGATGATGCCATCAAAAACGAATTACACATCATCCTTATTGGTGATTTAAATGCTGATATAGATCGTGTTAACAATTCCTCTTTTAATTTAAATTTCATTAATTCCCTTAATAATTATGATTTATATGACGCATTCAATGTCTAGTTTAAAAATGACAGAATGTTATATCCATCTTTTATTAACAAAGCATCTTCGTCTAGAATTAACTACATATATATGACACCTGAATTGGCACTCAACATATTTGACTGCAAGACTGTTCAAATAGATTTCTCTATTTCTGACCACTATATTGTTTTAACTAAAATAATCAATTCCTTAAAACACTTTGTATTTACAAGAAAATGCCAGTAAATCTTCCTTCAACTATAACTTAATGGATGGATCCAAATGGTCCAAATTCTAAGATAATTTTGAAAAAAACTTGAATTCCAATTCGTTGAAACATATTTCATCTAACACTATTTGGTCTTAAAGTCTTCTTAACTCCTCTTGGAACCTCTTTCAAGACACTCTTATCTCTGTGGCAAAAAAATGTATTCTTATACACAAAGCAAAAAATTATCACTTCTCAAAAAAACCTGTCATCCTCTCAAAGATTTACATTAATATAAAATTACTTCATCTTTTTGAAAAAACAACAAAAAAATGTCTTTATACCCTTACTGTTCACAACAAATGAATCAACTTATATTTACAATTTTTACAGCTTGCCTATTCCAATGGCTTGAGTACTGTTCCTCTTAATTGTTCCCCTCACACAAATATACTTAATACTGTTTTTCCAGATATCAAACTTCTTCTTGCTAGCTTTAAAACAAAAGCAGAACTACGTGAATATAATTTTAAACTCAAAAGTATTCAGGAAGCCTTAAATACCGTGTAGATGATTACAAACACAACTCATCTCGAATGATTGACTCAGTCCTTAATCAAAGAAAAACTACTATTATATTAGACAGATGCGTCGATAATTCGTCTCCAAATTGTAACTTACTTTTCGAGAAATATGATGTTAAAAAGAAGTCACCAGACATTTCTAACAAGTCGCAGAAACTACGCATTGCACTAAAGATATTCCAGAGGAATGGACTTTCGCATATACTCCAGTAACTTCGATCGATTCAAGTATTTATAATAACTTAATATCTTTACCTTCTACAGACGAATGGTATAGGATTATCGATCGATTCCTAAATAACAAAGTCTCTGAACCATCGAAAATTTCGAATGAAATGTTAAAACATCTAGGACTGCTTGCGAAAGAAATATTTATAGTACATTATCTGCGGCTGTTTGCAAATTTCGTCAATACCTCATCACTGGAATCTGACATATATATACTCAATCCCTAAACTGAAACCATGGAAATATGACCTAAACAACACTCATCCTATCACCTTACTAGAAAGCACTAGGAAAGCATTCGTTCGCCTTCTTAATTCAAGACTTGCTAACATTTTTGTATAACATAATATTCTAAAAGGATATAATTTTGCGGATTTGCCTTTTAAATCTACCTTTGACCCTATTCATATTTTTGACAACATCAAACAAAATGCCATTT